TATAAAATATAAGCATATTAAAGTTGTATGGAGGAGCAATATACCTCATGTTGAAACACATGAATCTCCGACAAAAATTATCAAACAAAAGTAACCCAAAAAGACAAAAATTATCAAACAAAAGTAATCAAAGAAAGACAAGAAAATGAGACAGATTGGCAAAAACTTTTCTTAAGTCCTTAAACTCATCCCAAATTAGCATTGGGGTTTCTAAACTAAAAATGATGCAAATAAGTCATCTAACTTCTTAACTGGTGTAAATAAGCCCTTTATGACTAACACTTGCTTAAACTGAATTGACTCTGTTTGGTGATGCTGAATGGGCAGTGTAGGTTTTGACATAAATAAAAGTGCCCCTTTGATTTCCTTCGATTTTATTTTGTAATGTTATAAAGATAACTTTTTTTTTATAATTTTTTATATAATTTTTACAAATTATTAAATAAATAAATAAATATATAATATCGTAAATCTCAAATGAGTAAAAAAATCAATTATTAAATGACACATAAAATTATATAAAAAAAATTATTTTTAAATATTTTTTTATTTAGAATTTTTAAGATTTTGATAGGATCCAAAGTCCTTCTACATTAGCATCTAAAACAAATGAAAAGGGAGGGAACAAATGAAGTCAATCCAGCTATTTGGGCTGTCAGTGCTGTTAGTCAGAAATGGTTTATTTGCGTAAGTCAAGAAGTTGAAAAGCTTATTTATATTATTTTTAGTTTAGGGGTTTAAATGGTAATTTGAAGCAAGTTTCCGGGCTTAGGAAGTGTTTTTACCGACATATTTTGTTGTGGCTCGGAACAACAAATGTACGTAGTGCGGAACAGTCGCATACAAGACGCGGAATCCAGAGGCTTCTCTCAACCGGATTTCATAAAATTGTTTCTCAAATCCGCCCCGATCACTGGATCACTCTGACACAAACACACGCACCACTCGGCCAGCTCAAGTTGCTCTGTTCCTCTCGAGCTCCGAGAGAAGCTTTTGGCTTTTGGAGCTTCGGAGAACAGAGACGTTACTCTCTAGAACACCAACGTTACAATCTCCGTCTCCTGTCTCAGATAAAGAATCCAGAAAAAAGGGTAAAGTGAACTCACTGTGGGGAAGGAGTAGAGATTAGGGGAGAGGTGATTCTGGTTTTGCTTGGATTCTGGTTGGCAATGGGGAGAAGATTCAAGCTTGTATTTGGGATTTCTCTGTTGTTTTTACTTCTGGGTATGTCTTGTTTTCTCTAAATGTGCTACCTTTCTACTTCTCTGTATCATTTTTGTCTCTCTCCACAGTGTTTTTTTGCAGTAGATTTGTGAATAATTCATTTGGAACTGTCTACTACTCTCTTTCTCTCCTTTCCAACACTTTTGAGCAAATTTCATGCGATTCTGTGTGTTCCTATCTGAATTAATCATTTTCTTTGTTCATTTTTCGGCTTCTTTCCCATTTCACTCTGTTGCTGCTTGGTTTTAGGATACAGATCACATGCTTTCTGCGTACATTGTTTCAATTCTAGCGTACAGTAAAAAAAAAATCTGGGATTACGACATGCTTTCATTTAACATAGTCTCTGGTAGGTGGGGGTTTCATTAATATATTGGACAGCTGGGTTTGCTCTGTTTAACTGGGTGGACCCATTGATGAACTTATTTAATTTCTGTAAATGATCTATTTGACTACATTATGATGGTTTGCTGGCTCACTTGTCTGACTATAAGGGACCATGAAGTTCTTCTTCTTTCTTTTTAAGGTCTGTCATTTTGGCATTTTCTTGAAAAATTATAGTGCTTCAGCATCAAAATGGAATTGAATATGCAGTTGAATTTGAATCCAAGTTTCTGGCCCTAGTACTCTGATCTACTAATCTCCAGAAACTAGGAAACTTTTTCAGCATTAGGTAGAAATCATTCATATGTCTCCACGTTGTGATGTGGAGTTTATCACTCTGTCTCTGGTCCTTTTTTCATACCTTAACTCTCTCCATTTTGTTGTTTGGTATCGAGAGCAAGGAATGGTTTGAGATTGTTGTGCCTGAAAGCATTCTCATCAAAACAATTGATTGATAATTTCATTACCCTTTAGCCTCAAAATGAAGGTTCAATGTGCATCTGGGGTTGAAAGTGTTTCATAACTCTTGCTTTTGTTTTGGACCTTTGCATAAATTGAACGTCCAAAAACCTGGATAACTTGCATAACTTCTACTTAATCATATGCATGTCCTTTGTTCTAATTGTGGGTTTAGTCTGGTGTTTGATTATAATCTTCATTTTAGTTAGATTCTATCATTTCCTTCCGTATAGTCCATGGTATATTGATAATCGTTGTTATCCTTTTCATGGTTGTTGGATGATCCATCTTTTTCTATTCTTCCATCTCTTCTCCTCTTATTCTTGGAATCTTGTGCAACATGAGGTCAGTAGTTAACTTTATTGCTTTAGCTGATCCTGGTTGTTTGAGAAGCTTTGATTGGTTCCAAGATGTCTCAGGTAATAGGAACCTTATTGAGATTATATTTCCATAATTGGAAAAATATGTATCAATTAATTTTGTCTCATATGCTATATTATTGATAACTTCTGCTATCTCTCATGAGTCATAAAGTTGCTTGGAAAACCGCCTTCAGTGCTTAACTGAAGTTACTAAATATTTTCTGTTTCTATGCAGATTCTTGTAGAGGAAGCAAAGTTGGGGTTTGCTATGGAAGAAACGCTGATGATATTCCAACACCTGATAAAGTAGCACAACTGGTGCAGCTTCACAACATTAAGTATGTGAGGATGTATGATTCTAATATCCAGGTTCTGAAGGCATTTGCAAATACTGGAGTTGAACTTATGATCGGAGTTACAAATACAGACTTGTTGCCATTCTCCCAGTTCCAATCAAATGTAGACACCTGGCTAAAGAATAGCATTCTTCCATACTACCCGGCCACGAAGATCACTTACATTACTGTTGGTGCAGAAGTCACCGAGAGTCCTGGTAATGCCTCTGCCTTGGTTGTACCTGCAATGCAAAATGTCGTCACAGCATTAAAGAAAGTAGGTCTGCACAAGAGGATCAAAGTTTCTAGTACACATTCTCTTGGGGTTTTGTCCCGATCATTCCCACCTTCTGCGGGGGCATTTAACAGCAGCCATGCATTTTTCCTGAAACCTATGTTGGAATTCCTAGCTGAGAACCAGTCTCCTTTTATGATTGATTTATATCCTTATTATGCTTATAGAGATTCTCCAAACAATGTATCTCTACAATATGCTTTATTTGAGTCATCCCCTGAAGTCATAGATCCAAACACTGGTTTGATTTATACAAACATGTTTGATGCTCAGATTGATTCCATTTATTTTGCTCTAATGGCTCTCAACTTCAGAACAATTAAGATTATGGTCACAGAGACGGGCTGGCCATCCAAAGGTTCACCCAAAGAGAAGGCTGCTACTCCTGACAATGCCCAGACCTATAACACCAATCTGATTCGTCACGTCATCAATGACTCTGGCACTCCTGCAAAGCCTGGTGAAGAATTGGATGTGTATATCTTCTCTTTGTTTAACGAGAACAGAAAGCCTGGATTGGAATCTGAGAGAAACTGGGGCCTTTTTTATCCGGACCAGACGAGTGTCTACAACTTGGACTTTACTGGAAAAGGTGCTGGTGATATGATAACAAATGCAAACATTACTAGTTCAAATGGAACAACATGGTGCATTGCTTCTAGCAAGGCTTCAGAAATGGATTTACAGAATGCACTAGATTGGGCCTGTGGTCCTGGGAATGTGGATTGCTCTGCCATTCAGCCAAGTCAGCCGTGTTTTGAGCCTGATAATCTAGTCTCACATGCATCTTATGCATTCAACAGTTACTACGAGCAAAATGGAGCTACTGATGTTGCTTGCAGTTTTGGAGGAACAGGAGTGAAAGTCGACAAGGATCCTAGTAAGTAAAATTCAAACTCAAACCTTTACATTTACTTATTACATAGACTTCTTAGTTTGGATGTTTCAGCTTTTACATGAGCAATGCATGACTCTTGAATGCTTATCCATCCCCTGAATGGAGTAAGCCCAACATTGTTACTTGTTCAGTCAAAAGTTGGTATAGATGAAATTTATGGTTAAAGATCTGGTTTGACTGAGGATTGCCATCACATAAATCCCACCACTTCTTGTTGCCTGAAGATGATACAGTGAATTATTAATCTTGTAATGTCTTTAACTTCTTTAGTTTCGTAGCTACCAGTTGTAGTTCAATGTTTGCTTGCTGCTTCTGTGCCTAATGCACTAACTCTAACCATTTTGGGCAGGTTATGATAATTGCCTCTATATGACTGCTGGAGGGTAAGTTCAAATTCTAATTCCTTTTTCCTTTGTTCATGTCTTTTTTCATTTTAAGAAGTTCTTTTTGATAACCACGTTCGTCATTTAACATTGCTAAATTTGATTTGCAGAGTCAACAAAACTCTGGCAAGTAATACAACAGCAATTGCTTCAACTTCTTCCTCCACACAGAATGAAGCATTCACATGGATTTCTAATTTCATTTTAGTGACTTCACTCTCATTTCTTTTGATTGTTGGCAATTTCTGAATGGTTTGATTTTAGGGAAGCAGCAAACTAGTATCTGGCATGGATGTTTTAAATCAAGAGATGAGGGAGTCATTTGACTTTAGAAAATTTTTCCCAATAGGGATGTATATAATTTCTGTCCCCCAATCTTTTGTGCGATTTCCATGAAGTCTAGGGAGATCGTTTTAATGAGATGAACTCTGTATGTTCTTCCCGATTACGGGTAAAGCCTGCGTTATGTAATTGTTTTTTTGGCAGAATGTGCTATGTAATTGTAATTGTTGTATGTGTGTTCATTGATGCGATATGCTCTGTAAAATGCAACTTAATGGATTAAAAATTCAGTGGCTTCTTCTCGGTATGATAATGGCCACGCAGCACGTTAAGGTCAAACAAACTTGTTAATATTTTCTGTAAAAACGCGGGTTTTGTTTGATTGTAAAAACGCAGGGTTTGTTTGATTTGTATATTTATTATTTAACCTATTGAAATTAATTTATATATTAATGTTTTTATATATCATAATTAATTGTTTAAGAAAAAATTATAAATTAATAAAATATCAATCAAATCAAACAAATTTAATGTCAATTGTGTGGCTTCTATGCATTGTTGTATTGCTATAACCTCATCCCTTCTCATCTATTTTGTTTGTTTTTCCCTTCTCATTATATCCCCAAACATTTAATCTAATTAGTAATTGTATATTGAGTTTCTTTTTTTTTTTTTTTTAAGTTTCAATCACATTAAATTATAAAATAAAAATTATTAAATTTTAAAAATAATCCTAATATCAAAGAATCCATTGAAAAAGACAAAGTTGAACAAAGCTCCAAACTAAACATTCTTTAAAGAATTAAACCAAACACTTGCTGGGCAAAATCAGATTGAGCAAGTGAAAGAGAAATCGAAAGACAACAGAAAATGCAAGTCAACTTGAAAAATGACCTTACAAATAGGCAAAATTACAACTGAATTAAGCAATAAAATAGCAACCACTTAGCTACTAACTACAAGACACATACTCCTAATAACTAGGAAATACAAAGACAAATACCCAACAAATAGCTAAAGAATAGGATAATAGAAACAGATAACTAAAGACTTACTCAACAAACCCTCCTTTAAACTAAACTTTGTACCAATGTTCAATTTAATGAATTCTACAACACACAAACGCCAAGCAGTTTCCTTAGTTTCTGAAATGCTGACAACTTGAGAGGTTTGGTAAAAATATCAACAATCTTGTCTTTGCTTTTGTAGTAGACAAGATCAATGACCCTTTCTTTCATAAGGTCCTCAAAAAATAATTCCTCACATCTATATGCTTGTATCTTCCATGGACAACAGGATTCTTAGACAACTTAATTGTTGAGTTGTTGTCACAAAAAAACAATAAGTGGTCCTTCTTGCTTGAAATGGCATCTTCAAGAATTCTTTGCAACCATATTGCTTGGCAAACACAAGATGTTGCTACTACCCGTTCAACTTCAATTGTTGATAAAGTTACAATCGGTTGCTTAATTGATGACCATGAAATAGCTGTTATTCCATCATGAAAGCACAACTAGATGTGCTCTTTCTATCAACAAGATCTCTTGCAAAATCACTATTAGTGAAGCCAAACATTTCTGACTTTTCTCCATTCTTATAAAATAGACTATACTTAGTTATACCTTTCAAGTACCTAAGAATTCTTTTTTCTTCCCGGAGATAGATTTCCTTTGGACTTTCCATGTTGATGCTGATAAGGCTCATAGCATGCATGATATCCAACCTTGTAACAATTGAATACATCAAACTTCCCACTATTTGCTTGTACAAAGTGTTGTTGACTTTCTTCACTTCAAGATTTTTATTAAGCTTCATTCCTACAGCAACTGGTATGCTAACTGGATTATGGTCCTTCATTCTAAACTTGTCTAAAATGTTATGAACATTCTTTTTCTAAGAAATAAAGATACCAACAACAGATTGATCAACTTATATGCCAAGATAATAATGCATCAAACCAAGACTAGACATGTCAAATTCAACCATCATAGACTTCTTAAAATGATCAAACATAGCCTTATCATTTCTAGTGCAGATCAAGTCATCCACATATAAGCAAACCATGAGCATTTTCCCACCTTTTGTTTTTGTGAAGAGTGTATTTTCATAAGGACAATTTTTGAAATCCTTCCTTCAAAAAATTTGCTTCAATATGACTATACCAAGCTCATGGAGCTTGTTTTAGTCCACAAAAGCGCCCTTTTCAACTTATACACTTTATGCTCATTTCCAAATTTAATAGAACCAAGAGGTTGTTCAATGAAAACCTACTCATCCAAGTCTCCATGCAAGAAGGTTGATTTCACATCAAGTTGAAAAATGGGCCATGAGTTTTGTGTTGATAAAAAGATCACCAATCTAAATGTATCATTCTTGTAAACCAAAGCAAAGACTTCTTGATAATCGACTCCAAACTCCTACTTGTAGCCTTTAGCAACTAGGCATGCCTTGTATTTGTTAACTTCTCCATTCCCTTTCAACTTTGTCTCGCACACCCATTTCACACTAGTGGTCTTCTTGCCTTTCAAAAGCTCAATTAGCTCCTAAATATTATTTCTTTCAATGGTTGTAATTTCTTCATCCATGGCCTTCCTCCATTTGAATTCTAAAATAGCATCTTTAAAAGCTATAAGATTACAATCTAAAAATAGAGTAAAGCATGTTAGTTCTTCCTCATTAGATTGTTTAATTCCAAGTACCTCATAATCAATCATCCATGCAAGTCTTTTTCTAACACGTTGAGATCGTTGTCCATCATCTAATTTAGCTTCTGGAATGAGAGTTGTTGGAGTTGCTAGAGCTATTAGAATGATGCTTTGACTCTCTGATATTTGTTGCTCATTCTCCACAGGTTGCTGTTATGTTTTTTCTTTAATTTCACCATCAAAATCAACTGGTATCTTTTATAGAGCTTTGCTTACATCCCATTCCTAGAATTTCCTTCATTAAAAATCACATCTCGACTAATGGTGATTTTCTTGATGTTTTGATTATATAGCTTGTATGCTTTGGAATGATTGGTAACACCAAGAAATATAGGCTTTTCTTCTTTGTCATTTACCTTCTTACTCTTCTCATCTGGAATGTGAGCAAAAGCAATACAATCAAAAATTTTAAAATAATCCACACTTGGTTTCCTTTTGCTTTATGCTTCCTTAGGTGTCATATGTTGAACAACAAAAGTTGAACTTCTGTTTAGAAAATGAATGCTCCAGTTGACTACCTTAAGCAAAAAATTCTTTGAAATGTTGTTTTTCTTTAAAAGGCTATGCACCATACTTAAAGTAATGTGGTTCTTCCTCTCACAAACACCATTCTATTGAGGCATATAGGTTGCTATTCATGTGAATTGTATTCTCCTCCACAATTAGTGTGCAACACCTGAATTGAACTCCTTGCTTCTTTCCTAACAATTGCTTTAAAGCTTTTGAAAGCCATTAAAGCTTTAGACTTTTGCTATAAAAAGTACACTCATGTTCTTCTACTAAAATCATCAGTGAAAGTATTCAAATAGCATTTACCTCCATTTCAAACTAGATTAATTAGTCCACAAATATCGAAGTGTGCAATCTCTAGTAGCCTTCTTGCTCTAGTTGATCTCCCCCTTAGAAATGGATCACAATGTTGCTTTCTAACAACACATTCTTCACAAACATTTGAGGGACTTTCAAAAACAGGTAGACCAGTCACCATGTTCTTTTGTTGAAGTTACTTAAGGCCACCAAAGTTTAGATGACCATAGCGAGAATGCCACAACCAAGCTGCATCGTTTGTCTTTGCCGAGAAACAAGACTGGCTAGCACAATTAAGATCAAGAGAAAACATTTTGTAAGCAGTCATTGTAACTTGAGCAATTACGCCAAATTTAGAATCTTGAATCCAACACACTCCATTTTTTATTATAATCTCATAACCCTTCTCTTGCAATTGACTAATGCTTAGTAGATTGGTCTTCAATTTTGGAACATATAGGAAATTAGAAATTGTTTGAGTAGCATTACACCTAATTTGAATGGTCACTTGTCCTTTTCCCATTACCAAGACTTTAGAATTGTCTTCGAACTTCACATTATCTTTGAAAGATTCATCCAAGGTGGAGGAAGCCGTATTGTCTTCACACATATGGTTATTGCCACCATTGTCTAGATACCATAGGTTCTTGTTAGTCTCTTCTGTAGCATGACATACCATTAGCAAAGATATTTCCTCGATTTTTGCAAAATTTGATTTTTGTCCTTTGTTGTTAGGCAAATCAGCTCAACATTTGGACTTGTAATGCCTACTTGTGGCATTAAAAGCACTCAACTTTAGACTTGTCTAAATTTGAGATCTACTGTGCCCCTTTCCTCTTCCTTTAAAAAAACTAAGTCTACTAATTTCTTCCTCTACCTTTGCTTCGTCCTTTTTTTGATCTATTTGAAATTCAAGAGGTGCTAATTGTGGCCTTCAAGCTTGCTTATTTTAATTTGACCGACTTGTCTTCCTTTCATACACAAGCAACAAACTTTGCAAATCATCAAGTGATAATGCATCAAGATCATGAGACTCTTTATAGAACAAACAACATAATTAAACTTTGGTGTTAAGGATTGAAGTATTTTCTTCACAACAACAATATCCTATGTCTAGTCACCATGGATTCGCAACTTGTTGAAATTACCATTGTCCTTGAAAAATAGTTTGTCAAAGACTCTCCTTCTTTCATTTGAAGTATTTTGAACTCCAAATGAAGTGCTTGTAGTTGCTGCCTCTTTGTCCTTGTTGATCCCTAATACTTCTTCTTTATGGAGTCCCAAATTTTCTTAACACTGCCCTTGCTAAGAATAGTTTCCAAGATTGTTCTATCAATCACTTGGAAAATATAATTTTTAGCCTTGAGATCCTTCAATTTTGAAGCCTCCAACTCTGCCCTTTAAGCTTTTGAGTTTTGACATCTCAAGGATTGGTTCTACTATGCTAGATTCAACCACATTCTAGTACTCCTTAAAACCTCAAGAAATTCTCCATCAACATGCTCCAATGATCATAATGACCATCAAAACGAGGAATTATTGGCTACACAAAAGTTTTAGAGGCCATTTAGCTATTGTTGTTGCTATGTTCAGTCCTCTCAATGAACCAAGTTTTGATACCAAATGTGAAAAACAAAGTTAAATAAAGCTCCAAATTGAGCACTCTTTGAAGAATTAAATCAAATACCTGTTGGGCATAATCAGATCAAGCAAGTAAAAGAAAATGAAAGACAATAGAAAACACAAGTCAATTTGAAAAGGAAAAATGCTTTTGTGCATCTTATTCAAATAGATAAAAATGACCTCATAAATAGGCAAAACTACAATTGAATTAAACAATAAAATAGCAACCACTTAGCCACTAAATAACAAGACACGTACTCCTAATAACTAGGAAACACAAAGATACCTGTCCAACAAATAACTAAAGAATAGGACAATAAAAACAAATAACTAAAGACTTATTCAACCTCCATCACCATTCAAGAATCTAAGTTGCACAATCTAATAAGAAAATGATTTAGGAATAATTTTTTTGTACAATCTTACGTGTCATTTAAATAATTAATTTTTTTAATTTATTTAAGACATAAGATATTTTACATTCACTCATTTAATTTATATGTAAAAGTTGTATAAAAGTATGATAAAAAAAGTTACAGCTCCAATCTAATATAATTTAACCACACAACAATATTTTCCTTTCTTCACAGCGCAACAGCTCGACACTGATGCCACGATCTGTTGCCCAACTGCCACCACAACAGTTTGCACCAGCCGTAAAAGCTTCGTCTTTTTATTTTGTATTATTTTTTACTTTTATTCCTTTTAATGGTTTTGGTAGGTTAAGAATAGGGGATTGCAATTGCAGTCCAGACATAATGAGCAGAATTAGCCCAAAAAAAAGAGGAGGAAAGCTTCACAGAAGATTAGAAAACCCAAAGGGGGAGGCTTGCCGCACAACTAAAGTTTTTCACCTACCGTGTACAAGAGAACATGCAGTTTTTGACTGCCCAACACGTTTTTTGTAATACATTTCTTACTGGATCAGATTTCTTGTAAGGCAAATTATAGTAATCCATTTGAAAATTTGAATTTTTGTTGTGCCTGATTTGCATACACAATTGGCAAACAGAAATACAGAATCCACAATTTAAAATAATCTGCAACAAGTCTAGGTGACGGTGAAAGTGAACAGGTATTATTCATGCCAAGAAGACAAATTCCTTCGCCAAAAAGCGGGGGGAAACTCTAAGCAAAAGAGAGAAATCTCAAACCAATCAATCTAACACATTCACTCGACAAAACAACCAGAACGAAGACAAAGAACCTGACTTCACAACCTTAGCAATACCATCCATTCAACAAGTTCAAAGGCAATAAGAGAACATAATCCATCACTTTTACAAACACCAAACCCATAACTCCTGCAAAAGGTTTCCCCATGACTTCAAAAATACTTGTATTAATTTAACCACATCTAACCACTACAACAGGATGTGGCAGATGCAAGTTTTGTATAAGCCAAGAATTGCGACAAGAAGCCATGGTAAAGGGATTAAAGACTCTGCTCAATAAGATAATCACCAAGCCTTTCCACAATCATGTTGCACTGACCAGGAGCCATTGGCTCGTCATAGATGCCAATGATCAAGGCCTGACCGGTCTTCTTAACGGTAACACCACCAGGTCCCTGAAATTAAAAGAGTGAAAGCCCATAATACAACATTAACCATTTACCGAATGAATGCAAGATGTGAGGACTCAGAAATTCAGAACTGCTTTATATGTCCTAAAGTGTAAAATAATAGATAAATGGCAATCCTCAGTCTTCCCTTTTCTTCCCAGGTCTTTCTCAAGATGAACCCCCCAACGGATTGATTTGCACTTGGGGGGTCAAGATTTTTTACTCAAAAGTTGGAAAATGTGTCAGGCAAGGACAAGTACATAAGTGACCACTGTCGAGGTATAGGTAGTCTTTCTTTGGGTAGCTACCCATCATAATGTGCTTAAGAGCCACATAATTTTAACAATGAAGTTTTGAGTTCTCAGAAGTAGAATGGCTAGCCCCCCCCTTTTTTTTTTATATATATATTTTGATATTGGGAGAGTAAATTCAAACCCTTATCTCACAGAAGGAGGATCATGCAACTCAGAAGTTGATCTTCAAACTCAGGTGTAGGCCGTGTGGCTAGATTTACTTTATACTTACAAAAAAGTTTCAGCCACTGACCAGCGATTCCATCAGATAGAACTCTCATAGTACGTTTACACTGACTTTTGGATCATAAACAAAGTAACCCAAGAGCTGGTGCAGATCATTACCTTCTTCCCACGAATAACAGCTCCTGGCTCACCTTGGATCACCATATACTTTGTACCACCAATATGTAACCCAGTTGGAGCAAGTGACCCAGGTTCATTAAAATCATTCATGATAGCACTAATTTCCTCAGGCTTGAACTGAAAAAACACAGAGAGAACCCATTAGCATGGCAGATCAAAACAGGAGATAAGAAAAAAGCACCAACATCCACAGAGGATATAAATGTTTGGGTACAGAAAAGTGAAGAACCAATGTACATAAGTTTAGTTGCTCTTAACACACTTCGTGCTCAGCTGATCTAAAATAATTATCCACCAAATTGAACAAAGCTCAATAATAATAGCATCACCAATTCCTCAATTTCTAGCTTGAAAAGGCTAATCTATCAATAATTCACTACCCCATATTACATGCAGACAGATTGCAGAAAACCCCCCACAAAATCATTTCAACAAGAAGTGAACAAGCATCGATCTTTCCATAGCAAATCGGATCAGCTTACAAATCTAGCAAGTAAAAATCAACCAAAATCAAGACAGACCCTTTAGATTTGGCCAAAAAATGACAGACCCTTTTGAGATCAGATCCCACATCAACCATCAACCCCATCAAAAAATAGACATGCTTTCAGAGATGCTTGAAGAAGGAAGGGTAAAGGATAATCGAACCTGAGGAAAATTGGAGCTTTGTGCCCAGACGCTTCCATCTTGGCCGATGATGGCGGCGGAGGTAAGATGATTGCCATCAATTTCGCACATGAGATGATCATCTACGTAGGTTTGCCACGACATCTTCTTCTTGGGTTGAGAGGTTTTCGTTTCAAGTTTCTCTGTATTTTCTTCAGCGAAAGCTAGAGAGTCGTGCGGTGTTCCTGACTAAAAAAACCAACTGCGAAATAGACACGGAGATACAGCGTTGAAACAGCGAGATCTAGGTATACCACCAATTTTTTTTTTTTAATTCTTCTTTTTCTTTCTCTTCTTTTGGCCATTTTCTTTTTCTTTCTCTTCTTTTGGCCATTTTCTTTTTCTTTTTTATTCATTTACTTTGCAATTTCCTCCTTCATTTCTAATTAAACTTTTTATTATTCTATTTTGGGATTGCAAGAATTGATGTCACACAATTAAGGTTATTAGCTAGTGGAGGAGCTCAAGAATAACTAGTTAGTGTTATATGAGTGAAATTTGATTCATTTACTAAACAAGTTAATTCAAACTCGATAAAAAATTAAGTTTAAAATTAAATTTATATATTTATTTGAAAGTATTAGATTTGAAATTTTAAAAATTATATTGTATAGTTATTATAATTTAAATATATAATAATTTATAAATTTAATTATTAAAAATATAATTTTCATAATTTACAAATTTTAAACAATTTATAATTATTATATAGTTTATGATTTTTTATTATTAAATTTAATATAGTATTTTTATTAAATTTTAAGTGCTATAATATTTTTTAAAAAAATTAAAAAATTTTTTAGTCGAATAATTATTTCTTAAAAACTATTATGAATTATAAAAGAAAATTACAATTCAAACTCAAAAATTTACTTGAATATTCACGATCTTAAACATAAATTCAATATTTGAGGTAAATTTAAAAACAAATATCGAAATATATATCTTAACTCATTAAGGGTATGTTTGGTGGAACTTTTGAGAGTTTTACTTTTTTAGTATTGATTATGAGTCATAAATTTAAATTTTTATTATCGAAAAAATTTAAAATTTGTTTTTAAAAATAATAAGAAGTGAATAATAAGTGAGTAAGAAATAAGTAAAAAGAAAATTTATAAAAAGTAAAAGTTTAAAATTTTTTTAAATTTATTGTTTAAAATTTTTTAAAATTAAAGAAAAGTTAAAAAATATAATTTTTAAGAGAAAATTTTTAATAAATAAAATATAAATAATATCAAAAAATTAAAACACTAATAAACTTCACCAAACATACTCTAAAAATTCTACCCATACTACCTTATAAGCAAAATTTTAATTAAAATATTAACTCATTATAATTAAATTAACTTCAATATTTTAGTCATCATCATACTAATGTCTAACATTCTAGTCTCGGACCCCACCCCACCCACAAAGAAAAAAAAAAGAAGACAAACGGACAACTCCCCAGTCTCGGATGCCACTCTAGTACTCTACTCTATTTCCTCTGTGTCCACTTGTAGCCACTAGCCACCTCTGTACTGCGTTCTCCCAAGGTTAGATGCCTGATTTGTATCCCTCAATTATTATTATTTTTTAAAATTAAAGGAATTTTTAAAATTTTAAAAAGTATTAAAAATACGTTTAAATTTTAATTTTTAAGACCAATTTATACCTTTCATCAGTTAAATGCATACATGCCCGTTAACTCCTCTAGAAATTTCATTTTTTTTAGTTTTAAAAATTACCTCAAAATGACGTGGATTCATAAGTGGGTAATTTAATCCTGTGTGACAGCTGAGTCATTTTTTCATGGACATTTAATCATAGTACCATAATAAGGCATTTTGAGCCCATTTTTTATTTAATCAAATGCCATCTTACAAGTGCAGAAAATTCGAATCAATAGAGTAGTGTTACACTTGCAAAGTTGCTCCTTTTCAACCAATTATCGTCACTGAGGTCTCGTTATCAGCGTCTGAGACAAGAACAGAAGTTGGGTCTTGAGTTCCCATATTTCATATCTAAGCTTCTCGTTTCTTAAGCTAAAAAGGTGCTATTTTGATAACTTTACAAACGGAATTCTTGTTCATGGAAGAGCTCGTGCTAAGGAGGGGTGAAAATGGAGAGTCGGGAGGGGTAGTAGAGAAGAAGGAAACCCAGATCTGGGTTTTTGAGAGGACCCAAGTTCCGGTTTTCCTAGGTTCTCAAAGAAAAATAAAAGATGAAGGGAAGGGAAGGAGAAGAAGATAGAAGGAGAGTGACCCAAGAAGAAAGAGGAAGAAGAAAGAGAGGAAGGACCAAAGAAAAAGCAGGAGGAGGGAGCGAAAAAGGAGGAAGAAGATGAATTTTCGTTTTGGGTAGATTTGTTGGAATGCGTGAAAGTATTAATTAATGTGAAAATATGTTAAATTACAAAATAAATTATATTTTTTACGTCATTGTACCATAGCAGCACGTACAATTGATCAATGATACTTTAATACGTGAGTAAAATAATAAAAAGTAAACTCGTTTTCACTCGGGCCTACGTGATCTGGAATGCAACACATGGCATACCCATTTGTAGGGAAGATCTTCTATACTTCTCAACTCATGGCAGCTTCGCCTTGCCATTTTGCTCTTCTTTTCCCCAATTCCCCTCCCTGATCTTGTTGTGATAGTCTTGCTTGCTGTGCTCCATTTCTCCTCTCCTTGTTGCACCTCTTCTGCTCTTTTCCCACTCTCCTCTTTCTAATCTTGTTGTCATGGTCTTGCTTGATCTGCTCCATTTCTCCTCTCCTTGTCTCGCCTCATCTCCACTTTGATCCTCGCAGCTTAATGCTTCACCCCACCATGCCTCATCAATCTCGCCTGCCTAATAGCCTCATCACCCTATTGCACCTAATCTTCTTGCCTATTATTTTTCAACAATTTTTTACTTAAAATTTAAATATAATATTATATATATATACTCTTTTAATATCACATTATTATTATTATTATTATTATAAATTTATAATCCTATCCTATATTAAAAACCTATAATTTCTTCATTTTTAATAGCATCCCAATTCTCAATCCAACACCGTATTTGTCACGACTCCAATGGATCATTTGACATTGTGTAATATAGGATATCAATAAAACCGACAATTTAAAGCTAGAAAGATAGCGACAAAGATTGGCAGAAGGATTTCTATCTTTATACCGATACATTATCTATTTTATCTCTTTACCTATCACTTTTAAGGACCGGCTGATTTTGACCGAATATGCCCTATTATTAGAGGTGCCCACTTCGGTGCCCACTTCG